GGATAACTGTACTACAACTTTTATTTTTTTGAAAAGAAAACACAGGCATCTTGCAGCTTTAGTTCTCTTTGCATTCAGATTATCTGTTTTTCCTATTTCTTAGTTCCTTTGACTTTTTTGGGGTTCACAACGAGGGGTCATAGAATATTCAGAAATATCTGCCAAATATTATTTTTTTATTGACCAGACTGTTAAGGAAATCTGAATTATTAGTGAGCTATTGGCTAGATTTTAAGAATCTGAGCACTAGGCTAGACTCTTAAAGAATCTGGGCACCTTAATGGAGACAAGATGAATCTTATATACAGAAAGACTGTGGGAGGGATCTGGGAATGGCCAAGTAGTCTGGGTTGACTGGAGGAGGGGTCTCAGGAGGATCTGGATGGGAGTGGCCAGTAAGCTGGGGTGAACAGAACGCCAGGGACCTGGACCACGTGGCCAGGGGAGAATGGAGTCTAGATAGGATTAAAGGTGGGAAGTGGCCAGGGGCAATCGGGAGGTAACTATACAGAATCGGGATATTGGGTTTAGCCACAATGAAAGGCTAGTTCAATGGATTACAGCCTCAGGCAAACGCCAGAGGTTTGGGGAAAGTCCAAGAATTTTCTTTTTTGGGGTCCAGATCCCAAAGACATAGTCTTCCTTTTAGGGGTTCAGATCCCATCCCCATCATTCCCCCCTCAAACAAATGGGACACAAATTCTTTTGGGGTAAGGGGTGAACATCTTGCCTTCTGAAACTGCTTCCTGCTGGCAAGGGGCAAAGAGTTGTCCTTGCCTTGAGGGGGTCCCAAAGAGGAGGTTGACTGAAACTGAGTACAGGCTGCATCCAGGGGACAATGCGGGGACATTGGCTGGTACCCGCTGTTTGCTACCAACAGTAGGTGAATGGCCTGTAGTCTGTAAGACACAAATCTAACAGAAAAGACTGCGGGGCCCAGATAGAGGGAGAAGTAAAAGTGTAACAGCCCCATTAAAATAATTTACATTTGACCTGCAGGATTATTTGATCTCTTTACTTTTTAAAAAATTTAGGTAATGCTTTTGCAGGTAGAAGTTTTCCACCCCTGGGTTCAATAGTTACACAATTGAATTTGCTAAGACACTGACTTTCACTTGAATTATCACTGAAATTCTCCTCCCCAAACCAAACTGAAGATGTTTCTGATTTAATTTCAGTTGTTTGAGAGTATTGAATGACTACATATTCAGGTCACAACAGCAAGATCTCACACACTTGCATTGATCTTTTACTGACCACTTGCTCTGATTATAGAAATTTGCTATAAAAGAATAAACAGGGATTAGTCTATTTTTTAAATTTTTTTTTAGGCAATTAGGGTTAAGTGACTTGTCCAGGGTCACACAGCTAGTAAGTGTCAGGTGTTTGTTCTGAGGTCACATTTGAACTCAGATACTCCTGACTTCAGGGCCGATGCTCTATCCACTTCCCCACCTAGCTGTCCCAAGGATAAAGAGGGACAAGATTTATGACAGGATAAAACATCCCTAGCTCTGTTTGGGTTTAGATAATTCACAGTTTTCCAATCATGCAATAGTAAATCATAGCCAGTCTCAGGAATAGCCAAGTGGGTAATATTCTTTTTCAAAGGACTATAATGGGGAAACTGAGCCAGGAGTATCCCATCTTAGACTGAGGTAAAAATTGTCCTCTCAGCTTTTCCCAATAGCAGACTTCTCCCCTGTATCACATTCTCTCTGAGTAGCTTGTGGCATTTTTCTCAGAGATGGTGGATTATTGATTATTAATAGATCATTATGATCCATCAGACAACTGAAAATAAAATAATTTACTGTCCCATGAGCTTTTACCTCAGACAGCAAGTTTCACTAATCACAAGTTAGGAAAAACTTTTCCAGAATTTACATCTCAAATGTAAATTTGTCCTGGTGTAAAAAGCCAATCTTTAGAGATTATTTCTATATACTTGCAAATTCTCAGCAAGCCATAACCCAAACAAGCTTTTTGGCAAGTTTACACATTAGAACAATAACGAACAATAGCCAGATTGTTTTAGCAGTAACAAAATCATGAAAAGTTGCTTGACATAACTGATACAAAAAGTTCACCAATTTGAAACTTGAAACAAATCCATTACCAATCCGGTGACTTTAATTTTGTTAAATGCATTTCCAAATTACTTTACAGAGAATCAGCACCTCAACATTAACAGTTAAAACTACAACTTTAAAAGATTGTGCTTACCCAAATTTGGAGGCTAGCTTCTTTACCTTGACCCACCCCCCTTCTCTCTCTCCCCATGGGTTCTGGGGGTTGAGGTGGGGGTCGGGGTAGGGGGAATGAGCAGGATGTGCCGAACCTGGGTGATGCTTCCAAGTAAAGGGGCCCTAGGGCCCAAGGCCATTGCCAGTGGGGCCCACGCTGTCGGTGCTGCCCCCCACCCCCAACAGTGGGGAGGGTAATTTCAAAGGGGGGGGAATGGGTGAAACTCTCCTCTCTTATGAGAGGGGTTAATAACCTCTTGACTGAAGGGTAGGAGAAGGGAGTGACCAGGGTTGTAAGGAGGTGTTTCAAAATTCCTTAATGAACAATCATAAAACCTTCAGAATCTGCTAAAATGTTTTTAGCTGTTCTGACTTTTCCCTGTAACCTCCATGAAGGAGGATTCAAGGGTGTAGAGGGAAGGGAGTAAGTAAGCCTCAGGGAACCAAAAAGCACTTGCTGTTTTCTCAATTCCCTAGCACCAAGAGAATTGACAGAATTGGGCATATGTTCTGGATAGGGCGTCCCTCCTTGTCCTCTATGCTGTGGAAGGTGTACCCAGGTCTGTGGCCTCGAACCAAACCAATGGACCAAGATCCTGAGAGTGTCAGGCCTCATAACTGTCTGACCAAAAAACATCTCCAAGCCTTCCTAGGTGCTTGGAGAGTGATCCCAACTGCAGGTCAAGAAAGAGGGGGTGGCGTATATAACTTTTAGTCTTGTATGGAAAAGAACTTGGGTTTAGGCAGCTTCCCCATATGGGCCACCAAAATGTTGATGTTTAGGGGTGCTGGAACCCCAAAATCACAACATGCGGGTCCTGCCTGAATGAATTCAACCCAAGCCTTCTTTCAGCCAAAGACAAGACAACATTTATTAGAGATCCTCCATATTGGCTAGACTCTTAACAAATCTGAACATTAGTGAGCTATCGGTCAGATTTTAAGAATCTGAGCCCAAAATATTACTTTCTAATTAGCATAAGCATAAGTCTTTTGCCCCAGTGGAATAGTCCTATTTAAGAAAGATGTTATCCTAATAGAAAAGGAAATGGAAACAAGGATATGATGTACATCTTTGACAGCACCTGAATAAAACACTATTTCCTATAAAAAGCATAATAACTGCTTTTGACAGTATCACATGCTTAAGTAGTACGTGGATTGTAATTGTCTCACTAATTAGCATTCTTTGGAAAGTTGATATATCAAAAGATTTGGTTCTAACTCTAACAAGTACACAGCCAATTTAATATTTCAATATTTTTAAAAAATAGTTACACAGAAAATAAAGTTCATTTTTTGAGTAAACCAAAGCAAATATCTCAAAAATTACTGGTGTTTTTAAAAAATTTTATTTAAATAAATGAGGACTATCTGAATAGCTGTCACCAAGAGGAAAACTAACAGAAAACTTTTGATACATCCCCTCCCAAAAATGACCATGTCATTTTTTTTTTAATTTTTAAAATTTGTTTTTAGTTTTCAACATTCACTTTGAGTTCTAAATTTTCTCCCTCTCCCCAAGATGGTGTGCAATCTCATATAGGCTATACATGTACAATCATATTAAACATATTTCCATATTAGTCATGTTGTAAAGAATTAAAGCCAAAAGGTAAAAATGAGAAAGAAAAAACAACCAAAAAAAAAAAAGAGAAAATAGTATGCTTCGATCTGCATTCAGACACTATAGTTCTTTCTCTAAATGTGGATAGCATTTTCCATCATGAGTCTCTTGGAATTAAGACCATGTTCTGAAAAGTCTTCTTGTTGAATAAAAAGAAAAGTGCCGAGTCATTTGACACAACTAACATCATTTTTTAAAAATCTAGTTCCTATCTCTATTATTTCATTCTGTATCATGCCTTTAAGCATAATAGTTTCCTTATCTCTTACAACCCTGTTTTCCTTCATGAATGCCACTCTTTTAGATTCCCAGTCACATCAAATTCTGCTCCAGCTCATTTTAACAATGTAAATATTATTTTAAATACTTCTTTTAACAACTTGTTAGATTCCTAATTCTAGTTAAGTCTTAACACTGATTTCTAATTCATATTGCTACCCTCTTGTTTTATAGGTTTTTCCAATTCACAAGCATGATTATGTTCTTCCCGTCATCATAATCTTGTTTTGTTTTTCTCCCTGATCCTTTTGTAAAAAAAGGGTGTGATTTTATATAAACTATATAAATATATAATTTTATATAAACTTCAACGAACATGACCATTTCTATATTCAAAGGAAAAATGACAAAGAGGCTTGCCTGTGAATCCATGAGTCTTTACTGCAGTCTGCCTCTTTTTTCCCCCCTAAAATTCATAATAAAATTCAACATACTCCTTTTCTGTGCCTTCCAATGGAAGGACATCCTCTTAATTTTCAATTTTTGGCTACCAGGAAAAGAATTACGAATATTTTTGCACATTTCAGTCTTTTTCTGAGTTCTTTGGTGTATTGGGCAAACTTTAGTATAGCACGATCTTCCTTATTGGAAAAGATTTTTTGGTTCGTTTCGAAATTTCGAGAGAAATGATCTTGTTAAGAGTTTTTTCATGACAGAACTGCTGTATGAGAAGTCCATATTTCCTGCCGCTATTCAGAAACAGCTTCATTTGAATTAATTAGATTTATTTGAATTATTTTATTAGAGACAGTCTTTCAGCACGGATTTAACACCAGTAGTCAGTGTAAAAGACCGTGTAGAAAAACCAAAAACTACGACATAATCGATTCCACTTTTCGAAACTGTATTAGGTGAGAGCACGAACGCAGTCCCCCACTACCACAAACTATGCAGGCGAGTTCACTGCATTTTGGGAAACCGCACGGGTCAGCCCATCCGGAGTGCAACAAATAAACCTGGCGCTGGGGAAACCAACTTCGTGATCATGGAATCACTCCTGCCAGGTAAGTATGTTTTCATATATTACACTTATTTTCTCCCTCAATATGTTCACACATTATACACACGGTCAGTAACACAACAGTTTGATATCCCACACAGCAAGCTCCAGGCACGCAAACCACAGAAATCTCAAAGCATTTCAACGTCGCAACGTGGCTTCATTCAAAGCAAATTGGAACTTGGACAAAGAAACGAGCTGCCTTATGAAACATTAGGCATATCCTTCTGGGGCGAGAGCAGATTCGTTTTACCGTTGAGTTGGTTTAGTTTTATTTTTTATTTTCATACCGAGCCCATCCCTAATTTACAATTATGCTGGTTTTCTATTCGCTTCTTTTCTCCACATTGCCGCATCTGTCCCTAAGCTCAAGCCACCTGTCTTCTATGAAGCCTTTTCCCATAACTTTCCCATCCTCGTACAAAGAAGTCCGAGCCCTGGGCATCATCCCCCGCCTGCCCCATTGCAACTTCCTTCTGGTTCCTCTCCCTGCCTCTAGTTTCTCCCCTCTTCATCCATCCACCCACCTGCCAAACAATTTTCTTAACCATATCATTCCCCTCCTTGGGTAATTCCAGTGGTTCCCTTATGTCATTCAGATAAAATAGAAACTCCTTCAATGGCACGGAAAGCTCTTCTTTTTTATATTTTTTTGTTAATAAATTTATTTATTTATAGTTTTCAACATTTACTTCCACAAGATTTTGAGTTCCAAATTTTCACCCCATCTCGCCCCTCCCCCCACCCCAAGATGGCATGCATTCTGAATACCCCTTTCCCTAGTCTGCCTTCCCTTCTATCTCTCCCCACCTTCTCTTATCCCCTTTCCCTTCTATTTTCCTGTAGGGAAGGATAGATTTCTGTACCCCATTTCCTGTATCTCTTATTTCCCAATTGCATGTGAAAAAAATTTTTTTAAACATGTGTTTTTAAAATTTTGGGTTCCAAATTTTCTCCCTTCCTCCCTTCCCACTCACCCTCATTGAAAAGGCAAGCAACTCAATATAGGATATACATGTGCAGCTCTGCAAAATACTTACTTCGTAGACATGATGTGAAAAACTAATTCTATTTCCCTTAATTCAGTCCTTCATTCTCATTTATTCTATTCTTTTTTTTGGCAGTGTCTATCCTCAGAAGTATTTGCTCCTGATTACCCCTTTTCCAAATTTGCCCTTCTCTTTATCATTCCCCTGCTTTCTTGTTGCCTTCCCCCCCTATTTTCCTGAAGGATAAAAATAGATTTCCCTACCTAATTGAGTGTGTATGTTATTCACTCCTTCAGTCAAATCCTATTAGAATAAGGTTCACTCATTCCCTCCTACCTTGCCCTGTTTTCCCTCCACTGTAAGAGTCTTTTCTGTTTTTTGTGAGATAATTTATCCCATTCTACCTCTCCTTTTCTCTTTCTCCTAATATAATCTTCTCTCATCCCTTAATTTTATTCTCCAGATATGACCCTTTCATCTTCAACTCACCCTGTGCCCTCTCTCTCTCTCTCTCTCTCTCTCTCTCTCTCTCTCCCTCCTTCCCTCTCTCTCTCTCTTTCTCGCTATATATATATATATATATATATACACACACACACACACACACACACACACATACATATGATTTTTTCCCTCCAATTACCCTAATACTGACAAAGGTCTCATGAGTTACAAATATCATCTTGCCATGCCGGAATGTAAACAGTTCAACCTTAATAAGTCTCTTGTGATTTCTCTTTCCTGTTTACCTCTTCATGTTCCACTTGAGTCTTGTATTTGAAAGTCAAATTTTCTATTCAGTTCTGGTGTTTTCATTAAGAATGCTTGAAAGTCCTCTATTTCACTGGATGATCATTTTTTCCCCTGAAGGATTGTACTCAGTTTTGCTGGGTAGGTGATTCTTGGTGGAAAGCACTTCTCAATTAAACTTATTACGCTAATATTACTTCTCTTCTGGCACTCTATATGATTCAGCCAAACTGGCTTTTCTTCCCTTTCTCATGCAGGACACACTCCAATTCCTCTGGACCTTTGCAGTGGCTGTTTCCCATACCTGCAATGCACTCCCTCTTCACCTCCCACCCTTAGCATCCCTTGTTTGCTGCAGGACTTAGCTCAGGCATCACTTTCTACATACATAAAGCCTTTCTAGATTTCACACCTCTTCCCAAAATTATTTTTTATTCTGATTTTATATAAACATATAAATTATATAAATATATAATTTTCTATAAACTTCAACAAACATGACCATTTCTATATTCAAAGAAAAAATGACAAAGAGGCTTGCCTGTGAATCCATGAGTCTTTACTGCAGTCTGCCTCTTTTTTCCCCCCTAAAATTCATAATAAAATTCAACATAAAATTCAACGTACTCCTTTTCTGTGCCTTCCAATGGAAGGACACCCTCTTAATTTTCAATTTTTGGCTACCAGGAAAAGAATTATAAATATTTTTGCACATTTCAGTCTTTTTTCTGAGTTCTTTGGCATATTGGGCAAATAGTAGTATAGCATGATCTTTCTTTTTGGAAAAGATTTTTTGGTTTGTTTTGGAATTTTGAGGGAGGCGATCTTAAGCTTTTTTCCATGACAGAATTGCTCTATGTGAAGTCCATATTTCCTGTCGCTATTCACAAATAGCTTCATTTGCTTTATTTAAAAATGTTTTTCAGTATGGATTTAACACAAGTATTAAGTGTCAGAGGCAGTGTGGAAAAACCAAGGAAATTTTGGGATCTACTACACCCAAGACACTGCCTCGCCCGCCCCAGTATCTGGGTCCTGAACTGCTTTGGTAGAGACAGGGATGCTCCCTATACAATTAAAACAACAGGTTCAAGTCTCTATCGTCTGAACTTAAACATCAGTAAACTTAAGTAAACAAAGAAAAATCAAAAAAAGGAAGGATCATATATCTCCCTTTATTTTTTAAAATGTATGTTAAATTTAACAAGGGAGGAACTAAATTGCACAATATATTTGGATCTTCTTCGGGACTTTTTGTTTTGTATTTTTAATTTTAATTTTATTAACTTATCTTGCTAGAAGATATGGCTAGGGCCCAGAGGACCACCCTTAGGCTTTCTTCAGTAACACTCTGGCTGGAAGCCAAGTAAGAGTAGCTTCTACAACTGCCGGGGTGGAGCAGGGGAGAATTAACTTTCTACCTAGGGAAGACTGAGAGACAGTTTCAAGACTAAAGTTAAGGAGAAAGGAAGAAGACAATAAGAACAGAAATTGTCTTTTTTTTTTTAAGGTTACAGAGTGGGTAGCTCCTCTTGGTTCAATGGCCAATTCTCTGACACAAACCCTTCTCTTTGACCAAGGGATTGCTGTGTCATCTCATATAGCACCACATCGGTCAGCACTGAGATTTGTTTTTATATGCATTTCACTTCTAAAATTTCCGAATCCCCCTCTCATACACTGTAAGCCATGATGTGTAACAAAGATTAAAAAAAAATATAGGAAAATCAAGGAACATATCTTCAGCATCTGGCAGTATATTGCAGTTAGTTTTGTTTAATGCAGCAAACATTTCTTTATTTAACATGGACCAAGTGCTTTACAAATTATATGGTGGGTGGAGTGGAGAATAGAAAGCTAGCAAGATGTGGTCCTTGCCCTTCAAGAGCTTTATAATCTAATATGGAGGGAGGGAGCGGAGTGGTGACACCACACATGTATGTAATGTATAACAGAATATGAAGAGTGCATAAGAAAATTCAGAAGTATTACTAGAGGTATGACTAGGGAAATATTTTTCCTTTTCATTTAGGGATTTCATCTAGAATTTTAGGAATTATATTAGACACTCTGTAAATAAAGCCTTGTTGAAGTTTATGACAAGAAGGCAAAAGATTGATCAACTATGGAATATCATGCCACGACTGACGTGCTTTAAAACATTTTTAAGGGAGTCGGCATCTGAGGTGGGTGCTAGTAACTAGTTAGGATTTGATAGATACAAATAGTACAAAAGGTATATATATGGGCAGAAGAGAATGAGATGGAAAATTGGTTGTTGCGGGTAAATTACAACCGTTATAAGTGCTGTAAAAGTTAGGACAGGGCCTAGAGAATAGTAGATGCTTAAATTTCTACTGACTCAGTGTGCTGAATTTGGGAATATGAACACCTAGTAGAGTCCCTCCCAACATCACGGTTCGGAGTTGCACTGGGGTTCTGGGGTCTATTAAAACACGGAACGAAAAAAGGAACGTGGTTTTTGGGTACAATACACACAGAGCCCCACAACAAAATCCGTTAATCTTTCGTTAAGACGAAGTTACCACAGAAGAGCGCGAACGCAGTCCCCCACTACCAAAAACTATACAGTCGAGTTTCCCACATTTGGGGAAATCGCAGGGGTCAGCTCATCCGAAGTGCAATGGGTAAGCCTCACTCTGGGGAAACCACCTTCGTAATCATGGAATCACCCTTGCCAGGTAAATAGTCTTTCATGTATTATATTTAGTTTCTCCCTCAATGTTCACACATTATGCACACGGTCAGTAACACAACCGTTTGATATCCCACGCAGCAAGCTCCAGGCACGCAAACCACAGAAATCTCAAAGCATTTCAACGCCACAACGTGGTTACGACTCTCTGACACTCAAATCTATATCTTCCTGAGAGAGTTAACTGGTGGGAGAAAACGGCCCCAAATACTTCTCATCTGCATATTGCCTCCCCTTTTGTGACGTCATCCAACAAGGCTGATGGATACCACCTTCTAACTGGAAGTAAGGGAAAACTTGGAGAAGGAAACGAGCTTGACTGTGTATGATTAAGCATTTCCTGATCGTAATGGGATGAAACCAGCATGTTTTTTCGTTGATTTGATTTTTACTTTTTATTCATTCATTCATTCGCCAAGCTCATCAGAATTTGCAGAGCCAAACGAGCTGTCCAGTTTTCTCGATTCGTCTCCCTTCTGTCCACATTTCCTAATCCATCCCAGCTCAAGTTACAATTTTTCCAGGAAGCCTTTTCCATCCCCACCGTCATCGCACAG